TTGGTTTTTCCTGGAAGCGAAAGCGGGGTAGGTAATTCACGCTCTGAGAACCGTACCACAACCCTCCGGCGGCCGCTCGGGACGACCCGGGCACGGCCAGCACGCTTTCGGCGAGGCGCAGCTGCTAGGATGCATCCCGGGGCAGGCGGAGCCCCAACAACCATGGAAACACCCTGCCTTCATAGAAGGCCTCCCGCTCCCGCCTCCCTTCGCGGGCCCTGGAAACGAAACGGGCCGTTGCTTTACCGGTTCCGTTTTGTCGTTTTTGATGCCGGTTCTGGCGTTTTGTTTTCTGGTTCGGTCGCCGTTGTTTTGCCGGTCCCGTTTCGGTCGCCGTTGTTTTGCCGGTCCCGTTCCAACTCCCATCCCGGAACCGTTTTTGTGCCGCTTCTGGTTGCTGTTGTTCTGTTGCCGTTTCCATGTTCAAGAGACACCCTTTCGAAAGCGGTGAAAAAACGGATCTGCCGCCTCCGGGACCCACCAAGGCGCCTCCTCCTTCTGCGCACCAAAAGCGAACAGGGCTCGGAAGACCACCAGGAATAGGGCAGCGAGCTCGACACATGTCCACAGCCCCAGGCCTGGGCCTAGCAGCGGAGCATACGCCTCCTTGGCCAAGGCAGGAAGGCGTCTACAGAGAGGCCTCCCAAATGGGGTCCGAGTGGATGGGGTCGGAGGATCACGCATCGCCGGAAATAGCCCAGAGGGGGTAACTCCAATTATTTCGGAGCCTCCGACATCAAGGACAACATCCTTTCCAGTTCCCCTGGGAAACGACCGGCAGGTAGGTGGCGACATCCGAACCCTTCTGCCACGAACCAGTTATTCTCCTGCATCGATGGGAGCCGGGGGTAGGGTTCGGACTTCGCTACGTGCTCGACGAATTGCCAACCCTGCCCCCGCCGCCCATCGAGCTGCCTGAATCGTTGATCGGGGAAAGTATGGTTTGGATTTCGCCGCCGATCAAGGAGGTTCCCAAGAAAACTCAGAAACCAACTCACGGAATCTTGTGGTCGTTCCCACGGCGCCCGATAGCGCGCCCAACCGCGTTCAATGCGGACATAAAGTGCCTCCCTCGTACGGCATTATTGGGCGCCATTGGTCGCTACTGGGCGCCACATGAGATGCTACTCGGCGCTATTGGGCGCTACTGCACGCTGTTGCGCGCCCTTCGCCGTTATGCGCTTAATCTAACACTTAGGGGGCAACTACTGTGGGGTCTTCTTCGGGAATATTCAAAAACAATTAAACCCCATTGGCGGGCTGATACGCCGGATTAGGCCGCATATTACACGGAATTGCACAGGATTTAGCGGGATTAAGCGGACTAAGCGGGATCAGGACGGATTAAACTAGATTTCAAACCAAGGCAAAATCATTATCGGACCTCCTCAAACATGCATCCAAACAACACGGAGCGGAAACTTCCGTGACCCGCTACCAGCTGTTCAGAGACGAGGTCCTGAGGGATGGGGTCCTAAGCAAGAGGTGCCTCAAGCAGTGTAAGGCCACCGTTGGACCCCTTCATACCCTTCGGACCCCATCCCTCAAGACCCCGTCTTGACCCCTTCATACCCTTCGGACACCATCCCTCAAGACCCCGTCTTGGCATCGCCAACACCGCTACTCCGCGGACCGCTACTCCACGGACCTCTCCAGGGGCGCGTTCTGACCACAACTTCGAGGCGAATCCCGCCGTGCCGACGAGGGCCCCCCTAAAAGGCCCACACACTCGAAAGCCAGCCGCAAGGAGCTTCCGTGGAATTTCGAGGCGAATCCAGCCGTGGCGACGAAGGCCCCGCAATAGGCCCAAAAATGCGAACACGAGCGTCGTGGAATTTCCCATGACCGTCGATAGTCCAGGCGCGCGCCCGAGGAGGCCAGGGGGGAACAATGAAACACATGGTTTCCCGGCCTGGGGCCCGTCTTTCGAGACATCATTCTGGGCGCCGCCGTGTGAACACGACCGCCGGTAACTCCCCGACCATCATCCTGCATGCATTACGGCGGGTTTTGTGCTGCGTCGGCGCGAACGAATGTTGTTGCCACCGCGTCGACTGTTCAACCTTGAATCGATCGCGACCACGTCCGTTCGAAAATGAATTCTGTCGGGTCGTGCGGCGTTCCATGTCCCTCGGTGCTTCCGCATCGCAAAATCCAACATTGAACGCCTTCGCCGGAATCGCCTGCGCACCAACGCCGCATGGACCTACCGCACCTATCAAGGACAACGGACGGCCGGTCGGAAGAAGTGGCTAGAACCCTGAAGTCGGAAGGCGTTGGAGATAGATTGGGCTCCCGCACGCCCCCTGGAGAGGAGGGAAGAAGGACAACCGTTCGACCCTTAAAGTAGGAAGGCGCCAAAATTAGATACGAATCCGGAAATCAAAACATACCTACTTTCAACGACCGACGCGGAACGTACCAAACTAAGAAGAGGCGCAATGAACACTGCGGACAGTTCATGCCCCCCGCCATGACATCCCCCCCTAGGCGGCGAGAGGCCGCCTAGTTGAAGTCCGAGTAGATGGGGTCGGAGGATCCCGCCACATCGCCAATGCATCGCCGATGCATCGCATATGCATCGGCGATGCATCGGCGACGTCGGAAATGTATCGGCGAAGCCTGCGCGGAGTAAATCGGGCTCCGCATCGAGCCGCATCGCCGATGCGCCAGCGATGCATCGGCGATGCGGCGCAATCCTCCGACCCCATCTACTTGGAACCCCATTTAGGAGAGCTGGATAACCAGACACCCTGGACAACAAAGCGTCCCCCCCTTTCTCCTTGTATATCATTATCCACGGGATGGAATGTGGTTCAATTGCATCAGCAGGCGAGCAGGCGAGGATGCCACATTTTGTTATTCGCTCTAGAATTCCAGTCGTAGCTCTGATCGTGAGGATGCCTCAGGCGAAACGCGATCCCAAAACATCTCAACATCGACATCTCCCGGAACAACATGACTATCCCTTCCTGGTACCCCGAACATGTGTTACCCCCAGGGGATTATTCTCACCAATGTATGGTTGGCCATCCTCTCTTGTTGAGCAGGGACCAACTGTCTGGGCATTCCTATAGACCTACCATGACATGTCCTCAGAACCCAACAAGGTTCTAATCACAACACCCATGTTCTAATAACACACAAAGCCGATGTATTTCAACAAGGTCGTCTCGGCCAGAAACGCTCTGAGAACATTTCGTGCAGACCACAGAAGGTTCTTAGAACATTCTTTGGTGGGCCTAGGGGTCAGGCGGGCCTGTCCCCCTACAGGGGGATTTTGAGCGAAACATGAAAATCGTAAAACAAAAACTTTATAGAAATACTCAAACATGGTAAAAACAAATCGTCCCCATATTTTTTGACTCTTCCTGAACATTCCTCCTGTAGAGGGACATGCCCGGTTTTCGGCGGTGGACAAACCTCCCTTCAGTACACCTCCCCGTAATGAAAGCGGCCTGGGACCGAAACAGACGGACCTCGATCCGCAAAAACGACGGCCGCGACGCTCTCCCGCGAACTGAAAACGGCCAACTCACTAATCGACGTGTCAGGGTAGGAGGTCTGTCCACCCCCGAACGTAGACAGCTCCACCCGCCTGCGGGCTCAACTGGTGGGTTACCGGGCGGGCCGCCGCCCACCTCGCCACAACCCCCCCGCGGATCGTGCCCCGTTCAGCGCGCCTCTGTGCCGGCTCAGCACTCCCCTGTCCGCACTGCCCCACAGCGATCCGACGAGGAGTCGAAAGGGCCACGCCCTGCGCTGCAAGCAGCTCCACAGAGCATGGTCAATTCGCCGAGACCTAAGCCTATAGGGGAGGGCCAGGACGCCTGGCCGCTGCTCGACTCAGCCACGGCCGACGGCTGGCGACCGACGCCCCGGGCGGCCCGCGGCTCCGCCAGCGGGGGGCGCCGCCGGCGGCCCCCGCCCCCGCCGCGGCCCGGCTTGGCGCCGCCGCGGTGCCGCGGCAGGCGGCCTCTGCAGCAGGGCGGAGGCCGCAACGGCACGGTCGGGGCGCGGACCAAAGGAACCCTAGGGCAGTTTTTAAGACATAGGATTTTGAAAGATATGGGATTTCAATACATGACTGATTGAACAAATAAATGTATGCATGAACTCATCGTGGTTCTTCATACTAAATCCCTGCAATGTTTAATACATGCTCCGCACGCGGAGCATGCAACAGAAACGGCACTGTACAGTCGGGGCGCTGACCAAAGGAACCCCACATGAGGAACGAGGCCCCTGCTGCCCACAAGGGAACCTTCGATTTTCCCACGGGGAACCCAGGGCAAACTGCACAACGATCAAGGGACACCGGGCCCCTCGCCAACGAAACGGGTTCCTTCTTCAGCGCCCCGACTGTAGGCTTTGTCTCGTTGTCCGATTTGCTGTTCGATGTGCTCTTAGGAGGCCTCCTAGATGCGGTCGGGGTAGCTGGGGTCGACGGATCGCGCCGCATCGACGATACACCGGCGATGCATCGGCGATGCATCGGTGCTGCACCGGCGATGCATCGTCGACGTCGGCGATGCATCGGAGACGTCGGCGTGAAGCAAATCGGACTCCATCGGCGATGCGGCGCGATCCTCCGACCCCATCTACTGCGACCCCATCTGGGAGGCCCATATTCCTTTCGTGGTCCGACTTGCTCTTCGATGTGCTCTGCCTGCTCCCCCGGGGGGATCCTCCGCCCAAACAAACACCGAAGGCGAAAAGATCGAAGCCCGAAATTTGAGCAGGGACCGACCGTCCCGGCATTCCTATAGTCCTACCACGAAATGTTCTTAGAACCCAACAATGTCCGAATAAGAAAAACAGTTCTCAGAACATGAATCAAACCGATGTGTTAAACCAAGACAGTCCCAGCCAGAACGGTTCTAAGAACATTTCGTGGACATCACACAGGGTTCTTGGAACATCGTTTGGTAGGGCTATAGGCGAGCCAGGACGCTTCGTCACTGCTTGGGAAAAGATCGGAGCCCGAAGTCCGGCAAACCGTCGTCAAGGTCCAGCCCTGCTCTGCAGGAGCGGCGAGCGGCCGCCTGGGGGCGAGTGGACTTCGTCGTCGTCGTCGTCGTGGTGGTTGTCGTGGTCGTCGTCGTCGTGGCAGTTGTCGTGGTCGTGGTCGTCGCTGCCGTGGTGGTCGTCGACGTCGACGTCGTCGTTGTCGTGGTGGTCGTCGTCGTCGTCGTTCGTCGGTAGTCCCTCGTCCGTCGTCCGTCGTCGTCGGCGTCGGTCGTCGGTCGCCGGCCGTCGGTCGTCGGTCGGTCGGTCGGTCGGCCGGTCGTCGTCGGCCCCGCGGTCGGGGGACGGACGGAGGGCGCAGGACGGGGCGGGACGGAGGAGCACGGAGGAGGACGAAGGATCGGGCACCTCAACGACGGCGACGACGACGACGACCACGGCGACGTCAACGACGACGACGACGACGACGACCAGGGTGGTGGTGTAAAGTCGGCCCGAAAACGACGACGACGACCACGGCGACGTCGACGACGACGACGACGAGGCCCTCTGGCCCCCACGGGCGGCCGTCCGCCGCTCCTGCTCGGGCTCCGCGTCATGGGGGGGGCGATACATGTGAAGGGGCCCTGGGACACACAAATAAATACACACAAATAAAAGGACTCCCCATGTTTTCCCATATCGTCTGGGGTTTTGTCTTCCCCCCCATATTTTCCCATACTTTCTAAGGAATCGACGATTCATTCTGTCTGTGCGTTTCTTTCCCTCCTGAACATAGGGGGGGATCAGCGAGGGCTGCAGAAGAAGGGGCCCGCCAGGGCCCAGAAAGGGGCCTTCGGGCCCCGAAAACGGCACCCTTCTCTCCCCCCCCCCCCCACTTCTGCAGCCCTCGCTGCCCCCCCACTGATGTTCGCCACCCGCTCGAAGCGACGCCCAACGCGGAGGGCGGACCCTGAGATCCGAGCGTTGCCTTTTGAGACCGTCCTGGAGGCTTCTCGTCGCCGGCTGGATCCGCCGCGGGAACACTGGCCAGCATGGAGGAGGGGGAGGAGGAGGAGGAGGAGGAGGAGGAGGAGGAGGAGGAGGAGGAGGAGGAGGAGGGGGAGGAGGAGGAGGAGGAGGAGAAGGAGGAGGGACCGGCCTTGAGCGGATCTGGAGCTCATGCTGCGTTCTCGGGGGACCCTGCCTGTCCCGTCGCGGCCCTGTCCGCGCCGCATCCGTGGGGTCGAATCTACGTTGGACTCCTCGGATCCGCGTCGAGTCCGTGCCGAAACCGCGTCGAATCCAGGCCAAACATCCTCGTCGAGGCCGCACCGAGCCCGCGTCGGGCACAAGAGGAGAAACCAATTTTGGGGACAGGCGAGGTCTTCCGAAGATGCAACGTACAGTGAATGCCAGTCCACAAGAAGCCTTCCACAAAAAAACCCAACCCTGAGACCCCAGGACGTCAATTGATTTTTGGTGTGGGAACGTCACGCTTTCCATAGCAAAACAATCGAAACCCAAGAAACCCAGGGCACCCTGGAGGCGCGCCAGGTATTTCTTGGTATGGCTTCCCACTGTTGAGTTCCTGCCGTGATCATTTCGCGAGTTTGCACTTTTTCCCAACGTCAGATCTCAGGGTCATGAGCGGCAAACGGTTCTGAACGGCAGCGGATTTCCTCAAGGTTAGCACGTCAAGACCAATCAACACCCAATCGGACAATCGGATCAAATCGGTATGGATCGGCACGGAGTCAGAACCGAATCGTGTCGGCTGCGAAGGGATGAACGACGACGCCGTGCAGGCATCGGGCCGCGTCGGATCGTCGGAACATCGGAATCTGATCGGATCGAGCAGGCAGGAGCCGATATTGAATCGGATCGATCGGACCCTGCCAGGATGGTGAGAAGACTCAGGAACGGCGAACGCATCCACATCCGCACCCTCGCGCTCTGGATTCCGGTGCGTGATCCCGTGGCTACGCGGTCGCATGGGAACTTTCCGCGCGGGGCATCCGCGACAAGCGCATGGTATCCACGGGGTCGCAACCCAAGGGCGTGGACACGCTATGCGTTCCGCCTATGGCGGGCGGCGGGAATTCATGTGGCCTTAGCACAGTAAATTGTTTCTTGGGGGCCGTGCCTGTTTTTTGATCCGATTCCAATTCCGATCCTGGCGAAGTTGTTTTTCTTTGTTTCGGTGAGCAAATTTCCGACCGCGGTCATAAGCAAGAACATAATTCTTGGAAATGGTAAACAACTGACATGCCGTTTCCAAGGCCGACTAAGGAAACAATGCAGAAGGTGCAAGGCGTGGATTTATCCAGATTCACCGCCTGGGACGCCGTTCTTGCAGAACATCGGGAGGAGGTCGATATGGACATGATTGGGCCTCATTAGCTCGAATTTATCCGTAATTATCAACTACCTGCCGATGTCCCAGGACATCGGTCCCCCAAGCGGGTAAATCCCCGCCTCGCAGGGGACATTTCCCAGAAGGTCTTCGTGGGAGCCGCAAAAGGACTACTTGGCGCTGAACCCGATAGAGATTGCTCAGCTCGACGAAGGGGATATTTGGCCAAATTCGGCCCCACGGAACGCCAGATGAAGCCGGATCAAACAGAATCAGGCCGAATCGGGACCAGGAAGCTGGCGCGGATGCTGAATCAAACATCCCAAGAGGTGAGGTGCAACCTAACAAATGGCAAGAAAAACAACAGACATGACATCCGCGAGAACGTGCGGAGAAAACTGGCAGGAAGGATCCGTTTGGGAGTCCTGCTCCCCGCTTTCTGGCTCCAACGCCCGCGGGGGTCTACGGAGAGGCCCGTGGGACTATCAACAGCGATTCAGGACGAAGAGCTGGTCCCGAGGGAAACCCTGAGATCTCCATCTTCATGAGGATCGGTCGACCATGCCGCGGCCCCTGCAGAGCGGCACTACACAGTGAAACCAATGCTGATCCTTTCAAAATGCAGTGTACGCTTCACTGGTGCACGCCATCCCGCCCATCTCTGGGAACCCCCCAGACCCCCCCCCCCTCGCTGACGGTAAAACGACGACGACGAAGAGGGAGGATCGGCGTTCGAGCATCCAGCCTTCTTGACACTTTTGAATGGTTGTTGGCCCGCCGAAGGCATCAAGAGGTCCCTGGATCACTCTGGAGCGGAACAGGCGGCGGCGGAGGAGGAGCAGGGGACGCGGAGGATGAGACCAGTGCAAGCCCAAGGTGCATCAAAGATGTTGCAATGAACCCTCCCTCCAATCTCCCTCTTCACAGGCTCCTGCGAGAATTTGTGTTCATAGCAGGAAGTGTCACATTGGAACACAACCGCCCGAGAACCCTCGATCTGGCCAAAGCGCCGCTCCTGGGACTTCTGCGCCGCGACTCAGCGTGACTGTTGCGCCCAGGCAATCCTGAATCGCACCAGATCGCAACTCCTGGGACATAAGCACAACGAATCAATGTGATTGCGGCGGCTACTAAGGACGGCTGTAGTCTTGTCAAAAGACTGTGCGCGACGCTCAAGCAAAGACCACATTTTGAAAAAACACTGCCCTCAATCCGTGAACCTGCTGCAACAGATCACAAATTTGACAACAAAGCACCCTCCAACATGAAAACTTTTCTAACTTTTGAAAACGGTTCGCGGACCCGTCATCCATCCGCGAGACTGCTTCAAAATTTACAAAAACAAATGTGCGCGCTTCTGTGGCGGGTGCCACACTTTGAATACAATGCGCCGTCCATCCGTGAAATTGTCGCGACCTTTTAAAACGAATGTGCGAGGCGCAAACAAAAGATCCACAATTTGAACACCACCCGCCTTCCATCCGTGAATCCGTTGCAAGCTTTCAGAACGAATGTGCGCGGCGCAAGAGAGAGAACCGCATTTCGGAAAGGACGCGCCCTCCATTCGCAAAACTGCTGCAAACCTCGAGCTTGGGGATCCTGGATGGTGAGGGCGTCTCAGGCGAAACGCCCGGTCCGCCATACGGACACGCCTGGGGGTGCGACAGGGAGGAGTTGTTGGCAAAGAGAACGGGGTGGAGGAGGAGGAAAAAGGGGGAGGAGGATGGAGGAGAAGATGATGAGGGGGAGGAGGAGGCGGCGGAGGAGGAGAAAGGGGGGAGGAGATCTTCCTCGGAGGCCCCAAGGTAGAACGTAGCAAAACATAGCGCGATCGCACTGCACTGACGGCGTGCTAGTGTGGGTACGGCTGCCTCCTCGCGTTGCATGGTGCGAGCAGCCAGCGCCTCCATGCCAGGTGTCGGGATCAGGCGCGCTCGCAGGCGAGGAAGCGAGATCAGAGGACGCTGCCGCTAGCATCACGAACTTGAAGCACGACACGTGGTGCCAGAACCCGCAGCGACCGTCTCCTCAGATCTGTCATGAGGATGGAGACCTTGGCGAATTCGCTTGGGAGAGCCTCAACCACACGGTCCTGGATTTCCATCGCACCGACCAACCAACTTGAACCACCGCTCACTCGTAAAAACTCCAAGATAAAAACAGAAACAACCGGTGCACAATTGTCTGTCTGGCGCGAGATGGTGCACAAGAGGTGACCACGTGCGTCACCGCCCCGTGCACACGACGGAGGGGCGTGGGTAAGCCTTCACACCCAAACATCGCCCTCCCGTCCCCGTAGGCAACGGTGAAACACTTGCTGCAACGCGCCACGCTCTCCAGGTTAGCTTCGTCCCCAGGATCCAGGGGGTCCAGGACGACTCAGCTACGTACGCCAACTCTGGGCACGTTGGAACGGCAACCGAGGTCCCGCGGCACCCCGACAGAACTCCAAAAGGCGCCCACGGGCGGCCCCCCACCAGGCACCACGCGAAGCTCGGGCAATGACCCGGGTGACGCAGAGCACAACCCCGAGTGGGGAAGGCTTCTTGGCAGGGGCCGCTCCCTAGAAGGCGCCGGCCCTACATGTACAGAGAAGGCCTGCGCATCCCGAGAACGATGTTCTTAAGACGCCTTCAACCTTTCCCCTGCCCCCCTCTGCGCGTGGCCGACCTAAGTTTTAAGTCGGGCCTGCCCCCTTACAGTGGGATTTTGGACGACAAATGAAAAATAGTCAAACAATACCCTGAAATATTCAAACATGGGGTAAAAGGAATCGTCCCCAGACTATTTTTTAACTATTTTTGAATATTCCTCCTGTAGAGGGACAGGCCCGACTGAAACGTAAGTGTGAGCACTGCTTGGGGAATATCTCCCCCGCCGTCGCTCTCACCCCAAGAAGAGAGGCCACGCGCGGGCAGGCCTCCGTGCTCCTCGACCCACCGCTGCAGCTGCAGGACGCAGTATCCGAACCGCTGCCGCCTCGGCACCTGTGGAGACAAAGACATATACCCTTAGGAGGCAACTACTGGGAGGTTTTCGTCGCAAAGATTAAAGAAAATTCAGCCCCATTTGGGAGCTGTTACGCCGGAGTGGGTCTCGGATTAAGCGAGATTACGCGGGATTAAGCGGGATGAAGCGGGATTAAGCCGGATTTCGGACCAGGGCGAAAACAGAATTTGACCTCCCAAGAGTTGCATCCGAAAGAAGGGGATATGGGGGGGACAAAGAAATACCCGTACCGAAACTCCCCAGGCCTTTCACGGGGGTGCCCGACCGGAATGTCGAGGCGAACCCAGCCGTGTCGACGCTGGCCTCCGTGGAGGCTCAGCAGGGCAAAAAAACGAAGCAAGGGTACCAGTACCGGTACCGTTATCCATCCTCTGGAGCCAGGCTCCCAAACACCCGATGCCATCATTTTTCATACGACGTAGAGCCCCCAAAAGTCTTGACCATTTCCCCGGGGCTGGTTTTTCACCCCGAGTTGCTTTTGACGGTCCCGAGGCCCGGTAAGGGCGGAAACATCCCATCATGATTTTTGCTCACTTTCGGTACCCTGTCTCCTCCGAGGTTCTACGCGCGAGGCCTTGCGCGGTGGCACTCGCGAGGCCACCATCAAAAGGCGCGCCGCGTGGAGGCGATATGGCTGGCTCGCCGCGCGATCCGACGTGGGCAGCGCGTGGTGACGAGGGATCTCGCGGACGAGCAGCGGCATCGGCATCGTTTTTTTCTGTTGACCCGTTCCCGCTGGCTTAGCTGGGCTTGGGCGACAGAGCAGTGAGCTGTCGGCAAACAGCAGACGCAAGTACTGAGTCCACGTGTCGAGCAGCTGCTGGCTCCAGAGACTGCAGCAGGCTCTGTGGCGACGCAGCGGCATCCGCATTCTTGTCCTCCTCTGAGTCCAGGGCTGGCCCGGCTCACGCCGGCGGTGGCCCTCCGCCGTGAGCGCCCGCCTCGGCGCCGCTGCCGCGCCGACGCAGGCCTGCCATGCTGACCCTCGGGGGAACGGGCTCGGCGACACGCCCCCCTCCCCCTCGGCAACGCCGCCAGCATGTGGAAGGTGCTGCATCGAACGGGAAAGCAAAACAAAACTGCACTGCAACAAAAGAGCCATTTGATGCCTCGAACCGGCCGTTTCCTTTTACCCCGTCTGCTGTTATCCCGTCTCTGGCTTCCTGATTTTCCCGGCGCCGCCCGGCGCCGGGAGGCGCCCATGTATCGAGGAATGGGCCCCTCGGTGGGGCCGAAACCAGCTGCATGCAGCAAATGTCGTACCCCCCCCTTCCCCACTGCCCCCCCCTTTCGTCCGGCCCGATGCTGGTGTTGACGCCGCACCTCCTCCCTCCGATCTGCGGGGAGGGCGCGGAAGACTTCCCAGCAGCGACACGAAGGCTCGGCTGAGCGCACCTCCCACCGGGCGAAGACCGCGCGCATGCGGGGCAGCTGCAGCAGCTGCTTTCGCCTGCGGCTCCGCCCGAGGGGGGGGGGGGGGGGGGGGGCGGAGGGGCGGCCTTGCCCACGGGGGCGGGGGCCTCGGGCTCGCGCGCGCGCCGTCGAGGAGCGGGCTGGCCCGGGCGCACTGCGTGCAGCCAGGCAGCCCAGCTCGGGAGGCAACTCCTGGGAGGCTCTCGTGAGAAAGATCGGGGGCGCGCCCAAGGGGGAAGGCGGCGGAGATGCTCAGAGGCCCCCCGGGGCCTTCTGAGAAGGGTCACGTCTTCGAGAAGGCCCGCTCCTTCTCACTTTTGACATGGGCTCGCCGCCGAAACGATCAAAGGGTACGAAGCTATGCAAAGAGGCCACTAAGCTGGCCCAGCCCAAGTTGAACACATGAATACACTGGGTTGAGCTGGCTCAGCGAGACTATGCAAAACTAGGCCGGTTTCGAACACGGATTCACCAGCGCCGTTGCTGGAGTTCACGTCCCAGGAATTGCATCCTCACCAGCCGACCCTGAAAGGGGGAGGAGAGTGAGGAAGAGTGGCATGAGGCTCTGGGCGATCTCAACACGCCCCCCCCGTGACCGCAGCCGGAGCTGGAGACGGCGGTGAAGCCTCCGGGACGTCTTCTTCCATTGCGCTCGCCGAGAGAATGCACATCGGATGCCTCCCCTCGGAATGCTCACAGGCCTCGACCCCCGCGGCAGCGACCGCCCGCGGCCGGCGGCCAGCGCCAGGCTGCCGGGGACGCTGCCGCTGCCGCCGCCGCCGCTGCTGCGCCCCTGCGCCGCCGCCGCCGCTGCCGCCGCAGCCCCTGCCGCCGCTGCGGCCGCCGCCGCGACCGCCGCGGCCGCCGAGTCTCTCGCGCGCCGTTGCCGCTGCCGCCGCCGCTGCTGCTCCGCCGCTGATGCACCGCCGCGGCTGCACCGCCGCGGCTGCACCGCCGCGCTGCCGCCGCCGCGCTGCCGCCGCCGCCGCCCAGGCACTCGCGCACGGGCCCCGCGCAAGGCGGCCGCCTCTCGTCGCCCATGTCGCTCGCCACGTACGCGCGCCGCTGCTCGCTCAGGAACGCGTGCAGCTTGCGCTCGTGCCCGACGCCGCGCCTGCGCCAACGCGCGGCGCTTCGGGGGGGAGGGACGCGGAGATGTGGTAGTGAGGGGCGACCTCCCCCGACCTCCCAGGAGGGCTAGAACATGGCACCAGGACCTCGACGCCTAAATCCCAGTCGAGGTGCCAGGCAGTCCAGATAGGTCGAGAGGTCTCGAGGGCTCGTTTTCAGCCCTCTGGAAGCTCAGAGCTTTCTGCGGGGGCCAGCACAGGGGGGAACCTCGAGCCCGAATCGGCGATGCATCGCCGATACACCCTGCGAAATGCTTAAGAAATCATGGGTTAAGAAATTCATAGCCTCAGATCTTGAATATAAACCCAACATTTCTATTACAAACTTAGGACTTAGATTGAAACGTTAGGAATAATCGAGACTCTGGCCGAAAACTTAAGTTTTCTTGGGCATCGCCTAAGGTGTACGTCGGCGACACGCCTCCAGTAGCAGATCTGACCGTCCCTGGACTGGGCGGGCTAATATTGGACCCCTGCTGGCCTCTCTCTGAGCCTGCCCCCCCCCCTGCCGCTGCCCCCCGATGGAGTGTCCTGCCGCTGCCCCCCCGCCGCTGCCCCTCTGCCGCGGCCCCCCGCTGCCTCCTCCCTGTCCTCCTCCTCCTCCTCCCTGTCCTCCTCCTCCTCCCTCCTGTCTCCTCCTCCTCCTCCTGTCCTCCTCCTCCTCCTCCTCCTCCCTGTCCTCCTCCTCCTCCTCCTCCCTGTTCTCCTCCTCCTCCTCCTCCTCCTCCTCCTCCTCCTCCTCCTCCTCCCTGTCCTCCTCCTCCTCCTACCCCCTGCGGGCTAATCTCACCCCTGCCGCTGCCCCTGGATGGAGTCCTTCGGGGACTTCCGAGGTCAGCGCGAGGGCCTCAGGCTGGCTCTGGGCAGGGCCGGACCCCCGAGGCAGGTGGCGGCGCAGTGGGCCCCCTGCGGTGGTGGGCCCGGAGTCGGGGGCGTCCAAGAGCTGGCCATCGCTCGGACGTCCATTCCCTGCGCTTTTGTTCGGTCTGGTGCGTGGCTTTCTCGCCACATGATCAAGGATACTCCCCGATGGTCCTTCGCCAAAGGAGAAATGCACACGTCCGAGCGATGCCAATAAGAGAGGGGCGCCCAAGGGGGGGGGGTCGCAGATCATGGCTCGAGGCATGCGCGCGGCACGGGGCGTGCGAGGGGACGCATCGAAAGACGGAGAGGGGCCACGGCATCTGAGGAGATGTCATGACCCTGGCCGTGAGATCCCCCCCTACAAGTCACCACCACCCCTACAAGTCACCACCCTCCTTTTGGTTTCCCCACAAAGGCTTTGTGGGGAAACCAAAAGGTACCGATACCGCTGCCCCCCGGACCTCTCCCGGAGTGCGTCCTGACCAGGCTTTCGAGGCGAATCCAGCGGTGGCGACGACGGAGGCCCAGGAGGCCCCCAAAAAAAGGAAAACGAGGGGAGGGCAGAGGTATGGGTACCTTTACCTCATTAGGGAACCGCATGCGAACCCTACCCCTACCCCCCACGATTTCTGAGGGGGAGGGTGGGGTTCACTTCGCTCGGGAGCTCCCGAACGAAGTGAACCCCACCCTCCCCCTCAGAAATCGTGGGGGTAGGGGTAGGGTTTGCATCTGGCCCCCTACTCATCTGATCACCACCCCCCTTTTTGGACGCCCCCGATGACGGTGGTCCTGAGGCCGCTTTTTGGAGGAGGAGGAGGAGGACGACGACGAGAGGAGGGAGATGAGGAGGATGCGGAGGAGGAGGAGGATGAATAGGAGGAGGAGGAGGAGGAGGAGGAGCCAGGAGTCGCCTAGGAGGGGCCCAGGAGGCCTCCAAACGACTGGATTCAAAATGCCGATTCCAGGCGCGGGCGGAAGGCAAGCGTGGCAGAAGAGGGCGCCCCAGGTGGCTCCTGACCGCGTCGCCCTCGCCCGGCGCTCAACGACGCCCCCGCCGGGGGGGTCCCGTGGGGCACCGGCGCCATGACCATCGCTGGCGGAACGAGCACTCCACGATTGGCAATTCAGGGCCCCTGGACCGCTGGGCGCGGAGCCAAATTCATAGGCCCCCCAAAACCAGTGGGGACGAGGGGTCTGTCCAGAAGCTGCGCCAGACCAGACCACCCATGCATCCCGAATGCGCGAGCGCGGACCACAGTTGGGCTGCGAGGGCTGGGGTTCTTTGATTCTCGACTCGCCATCGCTCGGACGTCCATTCCTCGCGCATTTTTCGATTTCGTGCGTGTGCGTTTGTTTTTTCGCCAAATGATCAAGGATGGTCCTCGATGGCCGTCGCCGAGGAAAAAATGCACACGTCCGAGCGACGCCAAGAGAGGGGACGCAGTGGACCAGTGCCTCGCGCAGTCGTCCCGGTGGCGGACCGTGCAGGCGGCAGGCGGGACTCCCGGGGGCAAGGAGGAGGGCGAGAGAGGAGGACGCGGGAGAAGAGGAGGGCGCGAGGAAGAGGAGAGGGAGGGAGGCGCGGAGGGGGAGGAGCGAGGGGAAGGATACACACGAAGAGGAGCCGAGCGGGGCTGGGGGCAGGGGGAGGCCGAGGGATGGAAGGAAGAGTCTCCCTCACCCCCTCCCCAGTGCCCTCCCGTCCCCTCGGGCCCTCCCTCTGCACACTGCGGTGGGATCACACGGGGCACCAGCCTTGTAACCCTCGATCGCTGCATGTGCATTCCAGATGGGGGGAGGAGGATAGAATCAATGGGAGAAAGGAAGATGCGCGGGGAGGAGGGAGTGGAAGGAAGAGGGAGAGGGGGAGAAGAGAGGGGAGGTAGGCACACGAGGAGGAGCGAAGCGGGGGATGGGTGGGATAGGCGGGGGACGGAGGCGACTCCCTCGCTGCCTCCCTGGTGCCGCCCCATAACTGCTCCCCCGGCCGCCCCTCCACTCGTGCATCCGTCCTTTTCCCTCCCTTCCCCTCCTGCATGGACTCTTGCCCGCCCTAGCCTTCTCCCTCCCCCCCTCCCTGCCTGCTGCGCCCATTCCTCCTGCCCTCCCCTCCCCCCCGTCTCGTCCCTACCCGTGGAGCCTGTCCCGACCGGACTGGAGGCAAATCATTCCTTGGCGTCCTGGGCAACCCTGGAAGCCCTCCCAAACAACACGGTATCAACACCTCCTCCTATTCCCTTCTTCTGTCTCGCCAGTCGCAACCAGACCGTTCGGCAACCAGGCAGGGTGAACTTACCAGCGATCAGGAGCTGAATACGTGACCTGCGCATCTAACTCACACACCTCGTGCATGCTGCACGGCGGACCAGCGGACACAACGTGCAGCAACCTCAGAGAGAACCACAACAAACGCGAAATCTAGATGGACCACAACTGCTGCTAGGGAGACTTTGAGAACACCAGCTGACCAGTCCGAGCCCCTCCCGAAGAACTTGGGACACAACTCAAACATGGCGGTGCCTAGGATGCTGGCCCAGGCACTCGGAACACGACCGGGTCAATTTTTCTCTGCTCCGTCGAATGAGGGCGCGCACGGGTGCGGCGAGGCGACTAAACCGTTTTCCTCCGACATAACGGTGGGATGGCTCACGTAGGCGTGGATGCAGCGGGTCCTGCCGACGTGCCACGATGCTCAATCCATAACGGCGAGCCCAATGTAAAGGTCCCGCGTGGACAGCGGATGAGACGAACAACACTTGTAACTCCTCGGGCGATGTGCAACACGACCGCG